GACCAATTAAACAGACACACATGTCTTGACACATAAACTGTTATGAGTGCAGAAACAGTTCGCCTTCCCCTGAAAGGAGCAAGTCAACATGTGCATAGTGCGGCGGTAATGTCAAGTTAGGCCATGTTCGATGAATGGGTGTCTTGGGTTCAACTATGTGCATCCCTGATGCAGTCACACTGAATCGAGACTTTATACTGTGGTCTCCGGCCACACAGAGAATTCTTTTGTACGAATTTGCGAGAGTAATCACGTAGTGCATCGTCTACTTCAAACATCACGCAGTGGACCAATTTTTGTTGGTCTGGATGAATATTGAAGCCGAAAGCAAGACGTGCTATATATGAGTGTTACCCACACACGAACCCAAGTGACAAAATAAGCATTCTCACGATCTCGCTATCCGTTATTTCATCATTCTCATCCTCATCCAAGTAGGACATATTCTTCAACATCGGGTTGACCGGAAAAGACCACGACCGTTGGTCCACGTGAAGGTTTACGCAACATGACTCATCTCTTCAGTAAACTCTGGGAAAGAAATTCATCAATGCGAATGAAAACACTGGGACTAAAATAAAAAAAGCCCCTTCCGTGATAAGTTACACACAAATCACAGTATAATGACAAAATTCAAATTTCACATCAGCCTAGTACAAATTAGGAGAGTTAACATATGGCTGGACATTTCTGTGTGCCCAAGGTGGACCCATGACAGCTGATGAGTGAGATCTGAAAATAAGCTTTAAGAGAGCTGTGCTATCGTTCACCTGGCTGCTTTTCTGTTTGTCGATCAGTTCGCCGAGCCTGGATGAAGTTTGATTACGACCATTCCACCACCGCCCAAAGATACATCGTCTGCGCGCCGTTGGATGGATCTTTCCTCTTTTCATGCCTGCCTCTACATGATTTATAGAGATTACCTTATCTTTTCTGGGTGGATACTTGTTTCAAAGCCATTTTAGTGGTACTTTGATGGGCCCGTTCGTCCTCTGTCAAGCGTTGTGCTTTACCATTCTTACGGCTGATTGGTCCATTAGGTGCTACCTTTTTGGATCAGCTGCGCCGTTGTATTTCGTTCCGTTTTTTATTGATTGTGTTTTTCTTTTGTTCTTATTAGATTTTGCTCCTTACTATGGTTAATAACAAAGCATGGTAGGTTTTCTTGACCTTGATTAATTTCTTGCACAGATTCCCGACCAACCCAGTCCCATTCTTTTTTGGTTTCTTGGACTTGTTCTGGTGGTTTTTCTATATTTCTATCTTTCAGCCGAATCAATGTGAAACTAAGTCTTTCTTCCTTCTTGCACTCACAAATTCTTTCATTGGATTTATCGATTATATGTACGGTCCGGGGTTTAGTACTTCTGAATTTCTCTTGTCCTCAGCACTTGGTGGACACATCCGGTTTCAATGCGCTTCTTGATTGCTAAATCAATGGAGTCCCACTCTCCAGAAATTCGTTTCCCTCCTTTGTTTTCGTTTTATCAAGTGTGCTGACACTGTTCTATTTGACGTCGTGTCCTTCATGGTTTTCACGTTCGATAAAACTGTGATTTAATCTTTGCTCCTGGCATCAAATTTGTGTCTACCTTTCTAGACGACAGTGTCTTCCCCGTTTGTTCCGAGTAGTATCTGCCGCAATCCTTGTGTTGAATGATTCAAGTGGCCTCAGACATCCGCGTACCGTTTGGTTTTATTTCGTTCTTCTGACAGTGCTGCTTGAAATGTGTTCACAAATTTGTCGACACTTGTTATACCATAGATATGTTCTTGATATATGGAAGTTCATTTCTTTCACCTTGTCTTTGGATCGCATATTTCAGTGAACTGCATTTTTCTGAGAATCTCCCCTTGAACTTCTTATGGTGGCTTTTCCTTTGGAAGACTTTGTAGAAGCTTTTCATCCCTTTTGATCTTGGAGTTGATTGTGTTGCGGTGTGTCTCAGTTCCCCTGAACACTCGCAAGATACGATTCTGTTGGTTTTTGTGGTCTGGAATTTAGTCCATGTGCGTTGACTTTCCGTAGATTCGTTCGCATTCATCCATTCTAAAGCCCAATGAGGCAAAAATTTCCCTGGATTACTAACAAACACATTGGGGAACCCACTGTTTCATCGCACTTCTCAGTCCGTATCACCTTCACGTTATGTAATTTCATCACCATACTTGGTGTTTCAGATCCAGTCGAAAAGCAGGCCAGCTAGTTTGTTTAGTGACAGAATAGGGAATTTGTTGATTTCTCGCCTAAATTCATTTGTGGGGCTGACAGCTATAAGGGGTCCGAAAGATAAACTTTGTCACATCCAGTTGTATTCCGTAGCAATAAATTGAAGCTGACAGGGGCAGTAAAACACAATCTACAATATTCGAAATGGCAATGGTGGTTGAAACCCGTGTCGGAGCTGCATCGCAACTTTCCTTCGAAAGTCCGATTAATAACAGTCGCTATCCTTTATAGCAATACTCGTTGTTAAATGACTGTCCCCCACACACTGAATGAATAACGTATCCTTTGAGTAAGAACAAGATTGTATGAGTCTCCATTTTGTACTGTTGAAACTGCGATAGATCCTCTATTGTGCTTTTCAAGTGTCAAACGCTTGATGAGAACACCGACGAAAATAAGATCTTGGGTTGTTTCATCCGTTTTCTAACGAATGCACCCAAGAAAATCGGAAGTTGTGTAAATGAATCTTGGTTCACTCCAGGGATGTAAGCACATCGACGTGATGGGACCCTGTCTCAATTGATTCCACCGTATGAAAAATGAGTGACTTTCAGTAGCTGAGCTGGTGCACGCGCATTCTTTTTTATTAATGGACGGATTTTGTCAATAACCTGGCGTCACATAGATTTTATGGACCGATATTTCTTGCTCCCTCCAGAGCAGCGGACCGATAGAAGGTACTGAATTCCATCATATCAGTTGCTTGCACATCAAATTTACAATTAATTACTCCCTTTTTGGGGCTTGAGTTACATGAGAAGGAGTTTATAGTTTGTGAAAGCGAGTAAAAGTCGCTTGCGAAACCAAAGAAGAAAATGAAGTGGCAGTTTCCAAAACATCTGACATTAAAAAGACATAGATTCAGTCCACCTACAGAAAGAATCGTTAAAAAAGAGAATCGTTCGGCTGTAACATCCTTTTGGTGCCTAGCTGTCATGCTACCAGAAGGAAACACGAGGGCTGGGATACTGCCAGGTCGCCCAACCCTAGATAGGAGAAGTCGAGATACAGAGTTTGGGTTCGAACCACAGACCTTCCGGTCAGTAAATTCGCACTCTAACCACTAGCGAACTCCAGGGGAGAGTTCACAGGTTCCAAAATATTCCTTAAGAAGCACAGTGAATCTGACAAAATGTCCTAACAATGAAATACTGGAGCTTATTCGCATGTAACGCCTTGTAGCGATGAGTTTTCACAGGAATAATTGTCTCCTCCAGGAACTGTAGTCATAAGTAAGAAAAGCCACTATAAGAGGTCTCGTGCAAGCCATGTTTAAGGAATATAACTTTGAGAAATAAAAGAAAAACTTTGTGGACAGGTTTAGATTATGCATGGGAAGCAGCATACTAGTCTCCTGCACCGCTTCGTTTCAGGAAACAGCACTTTTGTTTAGGCTTTGTGGCGGCCATTTAAACAAGCATCCAATCCATTCTAAACTAGTGACTCAGTTTCCCCCTTCCTCCGAATTTTTCATCTCAACCGATTTGTAGGAGTAAAGCCCAACGGGACTCTAAAAATTTCAGTTGACTGACATGAACCGCGTGATCCACCGCAATCACCATGAGAGGACCTGCAACAAAGAGAGATACACAGGACCCATCTGAGCTAGACGGTTAAGGCGCGAGCTCACTTACTAGAAGTTCCGTGGACCGATTCCAAACTTGGCGTCTCGATTGCTCCTGTCCAAGCAAAGGCAGTATCTCATCCCTCATGCTTCCATCGGGCGGCGTGGCAGCTAGACACCACAAGGGTGTTATAGCTGAAAGTTTATTACATTATTACATTATTAAATATATGCTATCAGCTGTTCAGGTTCCAGTTTTGCTTAGAAAATAAATGAGGTGACCTATTCTGGAACCACTCACGTTATTATGGCACCATCGTGAACAAAATACCAAGCGTAAGGTTATTGCACAGGTAACCCCAAACAACAAATGTCATTTTGTTGTAATTTGGTGGGCAACCCTGTATCAGTCCCTTGGCTTCCTGCTCTGTCCACTATGATATATCAGAAGGCACGGTAGCTCTACACAGCCCTTTATGGACACAAAGGAAAATTATTACAACTGTATTTATAGGGTAGTCACAGAGTGCTCCACAAGGTCGTGCCAGAATCTCCGTGAGGAGGCGAGAAGCGTCCAGTCACAGATGCTTGACTCGGATTGGCTGGCATTCTGATCAATCAGGGCATGCCTTCGTTTGGTCCGTGTCCTGCGTGTGACACATCTTTCCGAATAATGTGATGTTCGGTTATTCGGGACGGCTGGCCACTGCTATGTATGTATGCACCCATTCCTCACGTCCCCGAAATGTTGTTGCGTTGTTTCGTATTTCTTGCAATTTTTTCTCATTCCTACGCATGGTCTCCCTTTCTCCTTCAGTCCACCGCGACTTATCATGAAAGTTTGTTTGTAAACAGTACCAGATGATCTAGCCTGATTCAGGCGATCAGAAAGTTTAAAAGTGAACCCTTCATATATGGAAAGCTGTTCTATACCTACTTACTGTTCACGTATCATAATGAATAACAGAACGGGTTGTTGCACGAAATTGCGAACCAGTGTGCAATCAGGGACAATTAGTTTTTACTATCTCGAACTACTCGTGAGTAATAGATACGAATGCTGCAGATTCCGTCACCCCTGGACTGGCGAACGTCATTCCTTTTTCTCAATCATACGCGAAAATTAATTGATAATTTTCATTGACCAACCTTGACATCGAAACATCTCGAGGTTTCAAGTCCTACTGGGGTCATTTCCTTCACACGATGTTAGTGAATCATTTCCGAAACGGCCACAAATTGAATACTGTTTATTATTTCTATTTTCATATCACAAAGTTCGACCACTCCACCAGTGCCGACGTCTGGAACCAGATCATAAAGGACAGTATTCTGGGTTCTGGGTTGATCGTGAAGGCCGTCTTGTGCAATCGGAGCAGTCGCGCAATCTACGCCTACGGGCCGCAGGATTTCACTCCTTCTGTACAACAAATTGATGTCCTTCTAGGTCTTTTACAGGTGAGTACTATTTGTGACCACCTTGAAGGATGTAGGATTCTGGGTCTTCAATGTGTTCTCTTTAGTGAATTGTTAAATAAACGGTTAGTAAAGTTTCTCCGTGAAGACGTAGTGGACGGATAGCTCAATTAACTTCCTGCTTGTTGCATTGTATCGGCTAAAAACAACATTTATTGCTCGGCTTGTTCAAACAACGTACTTGAATTTTGTCTTCAACTGTGCAAAAAATCAAATATGAAGTTGAGCGGTACGTGCCTTCAGAACTGATCAACTCACGAAATTTCAGATCCTGGTAACTAGCCAAAAGTGTGATGGCCGTAATTGCTTCCGCATTCTTACACAGAACCTAAACCGAGAAGCATACTTCTTTTTTAATTTTGTGCAGAATTTACTGAGTGGTTTTTCAGAAGAAACTACTACAGACATTTTAAATGATTTAGCTAGCACTAAGGGCCAGATTATCCTCTGCTCTGATGGAAAAATTAGCTTTTTTGTTGCAGTTTACCTGACGCGGTTTCCACTTGTTACTATTCTGTATTTTGTGATCCCCTTTCAAGCAGAAACTTATTACCTTTCTGCTGTTCCAGATTAGCGGTTTTGACAAGGAATTGATATGAAACAAGAGGTCTTGTCTATCCAAGTGGGTCACGTGAAATGCATCGCATCGCCAACTAGGGGAAAACTGTCAGTGTATCCCATTTGGTTCGTTTGGTCTATTGTTGTGACTTGTTATGTGGCCGTGCAACTCTGTGTCGCTCCCTTGGCTTTCTGTTCTGCCCACTATGGTATGGTAGCTTCAGACATCCCTTTACGGAGACAAATAAAAATTACTACACCTGTATTTATGGGGTAATCACAGAATGTTCCAGATGGTCGCACTAGAGTCTTCGTGAGGAGGCGAGAAGCATTGAGCTAAAGGTGCTCAATCCAGATTGGTTGGTATTCTGGCCAATCAAGACGTGCCTTCGTTTGATCTGTAGCCTTCACGTGACACATCCATCCAAATGATGTGATGTTCGGTTATATGGGACGGCTGGCCTCTGGACACCAGTTTGAACTCAGATCTTCATGCCACCTTTCTGAAACCTTCGTAATATATTAGTCTCTTGGTCAGCCACCTGGGATTGACCGGTAGGTTCCGGCGACATTCAGTGCTGTTCAAGTGCTGAGCGCTGACGGCCACAAAGGTACCTTGTGATCCGAATGCAGGGACATGTTTATAATAGGGTAACCAGAATGTGAACAAATGTAGTCAGATGTGAATAAGACGACCACGAGCCTTCAAACACGCATTTCAGCTATACCCAGTAGCCATTAATGAAACACAGCAATTCTCAGCTTGTCTTAATTTCTTCTCTACGCATGCCATATCACACGTGTAGAATTTTCGAACGTAACAACCTCCCTAACTACTGTCTTGAACACTTGATGTATCCATGTACTCTAATTCTGAAACTGTTGTACAGTTGGTCCCCTCAATAGAGAATACCGCTAGAGAAAACTCTCACTTAAAAAGGATTTTACTTGGTTACAAACTTATTTGCCAGTGGATTCATCTTGAGGACGTGCGACCAAACATCGACTTGCGCCCTAATGGATAATGTGGACTTTTTTGACACCGGAATCCCCCTCAGACGATACATGGTCTGAATGTAGCATCAAAACCTCTTCTGGCCGGCCAAACGAACAAGTCACCTCGAGGTATTTTAATGAGTTTCCCTCGATTACGGTTACTGAATATAGAGGTTATCCTTATTACTAAGTCACGCCAAACCTTTCGATAAACAATTAGTTATACTTAGAACCACGCAGCCTTCTTGACGTCACTCCGTATACTACCTGTATTGGCGAACTTTTTCGGTATTATGGCAAACCTCAAACTTTGATCATCCGGTTGGCACCAGGCTACCACGAACTGACGAGTAAAGGATTCGCCCAGCTCGTGTGGAGTAAGTTCAAGAGTGTCATCAATATCTTCTAAGCGCTGATTAAAGAAGCAGAAATGATGCTTGCACATGATCCCTCCGTAAATTTTTTCACAAAATAACGGGAAACGTGTAACAGAGATCGTAGCGAACAAGTTGCTGAAACTATTAATTTTGGGATCTGAAGTATCGAACATGGGGTACCCAAACCAGTAAAAACAAACCTGTCACAGACGAAAGAAAATCTATCTACGTCCGCCTTTCTTTCAAAGGGACCTGGCCACAAACTATCTCAATTGACATCCGAGTCACACTTCAGAAAACCTTTTAACCTGCTTCCCTAAAAGCGTGGTTTACAATTAGACAGCCGATGCCCCTACATCTCAAAGATAAGCATCGTGCCCACGTTCAACCCATGGTAGTTTACTCCTTCAGCCGCTGTAGTGCAGAAGAATAAATAGAGCATATTATACAACAGTTATGTAAAGGAATTAAAGAGCATAACCCATTGAGGCCAACAGCCGGAACGAGGGGGTTTCTCACGAGCGCAGTGGTCGCTCATTTGGCTGACACAAGTCATGCGATTAATTCAAATATTGCAAAAGTGCCTATATACCTACCATGGTATCAATGATATCAATGTCTAGCCACAATTGAGGCACTCGCGATTTACTCACGCAGGCCGAGTTTGTGCACTCAGACACGTTTGTACATGCACTAAGTGATCACGTGACCACCGGCCAATTAGGTCAGTTAACTGTGAAGTAAACACTTCCCGCACACGGAACTCAGCTTTATTCTTGTTTTACTTGCATAGATGGTTCTCAACCTGTTTTGCTCATAAGGAAAGATCGCAACAACATTATTGGTTGTCAACTTGTGCTTTGAATTTCACAACGCCTCCTGTGCAAAGACAGAATCATGTGGGATATGTGGTCGGAATGAATAAGACGGACGCGACGGGATCTACGGACTTGCAGAAACATTCAGTGTGTGCAAATGGTGGCGCGTGACTCGTTTTTGCAACTCACATCGAAGGCTAACAGGGTTTATAATACAGCAAACTAAACTGGGTGCATTGATCCAAGCGCACCAGACTTTAATTATTAGCAACAGAGGCTGAATCTGTTCGTGGATGGATCCCCCACACGAGAAAACAAATTTCATCAGTCTTACAGTCGTCCTCTCTGGAAAATGGATCACTGTGTGCAAGGGAAAACAATGTTACACGTACGAATGACATTTTATTATTGTATCCCGAGCATTTACACGAAAGTATGAATTTAAAGTATTCGCGTTGGTGACACAAACATGTTTTGTTTATGTTTGCAGGCAGAAGATGCAGACAAGAATGTTGTCAACCCTAATTTCTGCATTGCACTAGAGGAATGTACGTACAAAGATGTGACGGACGATAAAATCCTCTTAGCGTCTGTGAACAAAAGTGATCTACTCCAATCAGACCAATCAACGGCAACCTATGAGCTTGCCTCGGTCGTTACAACCAACAGTCTACTGATTGGCATCTATCCACTTGCCGGAAACCAAGAGGCGGCCAAACAGCTATTGTGTGACATGCGTGACTACCTGCAGGATCAAGGCTTGTAGGCCGGGTGAATAATGGCTTTAATTCTATCATTTATATACTGATTCACCAGAATTCTCTTTATTGTAGTCTCATCGGTGTTTGTTTTCGTTGTCGCGGGAAAATATAACATTTACAACACAGTCAAAACTGCCAGCGTTCCAAAAAGGTTGTACACACTCTGCCTACTCATGAGTAGTGTAACTTATTTGAAAGTACAACGGATGAAGCATCCCACAGCACCGTTTTCGAGCCGAATCTCACTAAAAGCTGTCGCAACAACTCACATGGTTTACAGTGCAATATGTTGGTTTCTACAGCGTCAAATCCGAGAGCTGATGAATCGAGACAGAAGATGAGAAGTTCGCACGGCACTCATCTGGCGTTGCGGATCAGACATACGGGCCTGATTTGAGGAGTTATAGATTTGAATTACCGTCCTTGTCACAGGACGAAGGATGATATAGAAGCCAGTCAACGAACCAAAATTATAGGAGTATCTCGGATTAGCGTATAACATTCCTATATGTAATCTCGCTTTGTGCAGTTCGTAAAATCACCTTACCAAGTTCAATGGCTAGTGATGAATGCAAATTTTAGAACATAAACTGAGACACCTCTCAACGAATTTCCCCAACCACGATGGCTTACTGAACCATCCAACAGGGCTTTCAGTGACATTCTTACAGACGCTTTCAAACGCATACAAGCATCCGTTTGCAAATCAAACCGTTAGGTAGGTCAAAATTATCCATGAGACCGTGGGTACATGACTTCCAGTATAACGGGTTTCAGTCTCGAAGACCAGGGGTCATATTTTAGAGAAACCAACCGAATTCTCCTAAAAGTCTTGACCAATACGGTGGCCTAATCATAAAAATGCATACTAAGGTATAATATGCGAAAGGACTATATAATGAAGCCTGTTACGAAATTTTGGTCACGTGTGCGAACTGGGTTCGGTTCCTTTAGTGTATTTTCTATACCAAATACAAGCCTTACATAAACTATAGCTGTTCCGTTAGGATTAGTGAGTCTGTGATAGCCGAGTTTGCAGAACATTCTTGATGGATCTACTCTACTCTCCCTACTCATTTGAGTGCTGAATTTCGCCGGCAGCCTACGATCGCTCTCCCCCATTCTTAGTGTCCCGAATCGTCGCCAACCTTATGTTCTGCTTGAACACTAAGTTGTAGGCAACTGGCTAACTACATTCGCTTGCTGTTAATGGGAGACTCAACGGAATACCGGCCGAATCCCTCGATTTGGTATTGTTTAAATCAATATGCCACATGAAGGTCGCTTTTTGTTTTTTTAATTTGGTACGGTAGTCGAGATATCGGGAAATTAGCCCTGCTGACGAGTCCCAAGAAAGACGAAACCGGCAATGGGCTGTGGTAGAGTTTTCAGCCCCCTTGTGAGTACTGCAGTCCTTTAAAGCAATATACTGCAACATCTCGAAAACATTCCCAGGTTCACAATTCGGTCGCACAATATCGTAAACGGTATACTCAGTCGGGTTTCCCGTAAACATCAATTTAGTTTGCAAATGAATGTGTTCCGTCAAAAACTACTTTTCTTTTTGGATTACATGTAAACTGGAACTCGCTGGTTCTATTATGGCTGTACTGCTGTACTCTCAGTGAGATTTTGCCTTGTTTAAGTTTGATGTATCGTCCATAGTTTGTCCTTGCGTCTGAGTTTAGATCGATGAGCCAACAAGAGCAGAGCACAACGACCGGTAAATAATTTCGGGACGTCAATAGGGGACCGAACACAAACAATAAGGTTTTTGTTTTAATTCAGGCTATGGTCCTCTAAAGGTATTCCGTTTTTCACGCCTGATTTGTATTTGGTTTTCCGGAGGAAACTTTTCACAATGGTCGGTCTCAATACATGAGACAAATCGTTTTTGATCTCGGTAGTTTCCTATTCGGACACTTCTAGAAAGAACATCCAGCAGGAGAGCACCTAATGAAGAGAATGAAACTCGAATGAAACTCCTCATAAGGTTACTGCAAACCGGTTGAGAGCCCACGACCAGTTTCACTCTTCTTGCAGCTCACCAATTATGTGAACCTTCCGAGTTTCTGTCATCCCAGTGTTTTACTTGAACTCAAACTGCACAGAAGCCAACAACTGCACTCACACACACGCCAACTTGGTTTCCACTGGAGACTCCCAGCTGACATTCATCAACTAAATGGACTGCAAAAAACCGCCTCATGTTTCCGTTAGTATCCTATTCGAGATATCGCAGTCTCCCGTGAAGACCAACTTGTCGTGCCAACGACAGTTTTCGACCAAAAGTATGAAGATTATGGCTTGTTTTCATCTGCACATGTCCGATAATGTTTGTTGAGGACGCAGCTTGTGATCGCTTAGCTTAGCAGAGGACACAGTAAAAATAACACCCGTATTTTCATAGAGAAAGCTACTCACAAGATTGCTGAAAACTTTTCGACAGCCCACGACTTGTTTCGCCCTTCTTCGGGCTGATCAGGTAGGCGCAGTTCCCGAGTTTCCGTCAATCTTAGGTTCTACATCCGTATTTGTCCTAGCAACAGCCAACTTATTGACGAATAACAAGGCGATGGTGGCCTTCACTCAGAACTGCTCTTCGGCACTGATAACGCTTATAATCCCGAAACGTGAGCTCTGATTTCAAGCCATTTTGATACCGAAACGGAACAAGCGGCTTCAAACTTTTTTCTTAGCTCTACTCACTCCCGAATCCACCAGTTTAGATTGGGGATGACAGTTACGGGGCTCTACAAGTCACTGGTAAGGATGAAGCTGGACCCCAGTGTCCCTTATCACGCTCGGATAAAGACATCAAAAGGACAAAACCAGTGTTAGCTCTCCGTTTCCGAAAAATTGTGGAAAACGGTCGGTCGATTCATCTAGTCTTGGTCTATCTGCTCGACGGCATATATGAGGAGGAAGCCAAGTTGCGATCGAGTGGAAACTAGTCCGTAAGCGAAATTGTCTAATCAACCGACTGTTCAGAGCGTAGGACACTCGGAGTTGTCGGTATATTACGAATTCAAAGCTTCATTCAGGGCGTATACTGATGCTTTGTCCATCGATCGCATTCACTTATATCTATATTGTTCGTAACGGCTTGACTGAGGCACCATCTTAGTCACCGCAGAAAATATCTATTGTAGCTCGATGTCTGGTGATTCACTCATTGTTTGTTGACTGGTAAACACTCGAAGATCGGATTGTTTCACGGGTAGCATGGCGTTCCAAAGAATTGTCGAAATAAACCTTATAGTCAGGATTTGATCATTCAAGCTCACCAATATAGAATAAAGGTATGTGGATTCCGTCAAGTAAATTTTGTTCGGAAAAAGGGTGGGAACGTATTGGAACAAGGTTACGATAAGGACGTACTGCAACGCCCTTTATTCTTAGAACTACACGAATGGTAGGGTTTCGATAGAGGAAAAGTTCAAACTAGTTTTTGAAGCTGTCGAACTAGATAGAAAGTGGAACAAAGTACTGGTTGTGATGGCAACCAATCGAACCCCACCCATTCCCATTTTCAAACAATTAGTACAGCTAATTAGTCGTGCGAAACACGGAAGCCCTTAAGCTAATCAACCAAAGTTTACAGTGATTGTGGTCACGATAGTACTCATTTGACGGGGCGTTTATACATGACAGATAGGTTTTAGCCTCTGGAAGGTAATTTAATGCCAGTACGTTAACATTATTACGGATAATACGCGGTGAAGTACAACCGCTCCTTCCGTCCCAAACACTAAAAGCAAGGGCTTTCAAAAGTGTACGCTAAAAATTTTCAAAACGACTGGTGGAGAGGGAAACCGGGAACTTCACCCATTAAACTTACTATTGATTACTGCCGAAGTTTGCCTCTTTTGTCAGCAACTCCGGGTTCGAACTCGTGTACCAAAGATAACACAATTCGTTTTTCTCATATTTCAGAATGAATTCTAAATTCTACAGAGATTGTTCAGCGAGATTTTGAAAAGAAATAAAGATGGAAAAATAGCGGAAAAATAGCACAGGATTTTGAATGCTTCATCTGAGAGAAACGAATAAGACCGCATTTATGTAATGTTGATTCTACTTCCAGAGTGGCTAATTTTCGAACTACAAGTGAACGCCTACAATACTACCAGATGTGGCCGAACCCTTTGAAGCTAGTATAACTGTCAAAAGCCAAGGAAACTTCGAAAGCCTCCTTCAGACTCGAATTCATCACTACTATTACTCAATGGGGTCGACATAATCCAAAGATTTTCGGTGTTACCGTTGGCAATTGCTCGAACATTTGCGCTTCGTTGATAGGACCTGTTCAGAACAATAATTATTGCTAGGTGTTCCAGGCCTCAGCAGCCTGAGTAGATTGCAGGCTTCCAAAGTACATTTCTTCCGTTTACTGCGTTGTCTTCAAACACGTGAAGATTTTTGTACGTACTGAATGACGTGCTCTCTGACGACAGCAGCTATACCCTTTCGTAATCTCGCTGAAGACATTGTTTCGCGAAGAATGATAGACATTTTCACAGGAATGCGCCTGGAACTCGATCGTTGAAATCACATAAGCCCATGAATCGTGAGGAATCTGAATATACCTAGATAGATTAGCGGCTTCCGTGCACCACACACTGACGTGGTGCGCTGGAATTTAACTGCCTTCACTCCAGGGCGAATTCCAAACTTCACTAATGCTAGGCTGGGAGGATGACACCGACGTTCCTCATACTGAGATGTAGAATCACATTCAATGATTGTGATAGATCTTCTCGGTCCGGTGCCCGTTTTTTTTGTGCAGTTGGAAAAAACCAAATTCTCATGTCTAGTGTGTCCGCGATTGAGGTCAGCGACGGTGCAGAATTGAAATCTTAACAAGAACCATGATAGGAAAAGCCACTGTGTTCGTGGCGAGGTCGAATGCGCACAACCTGCCTCATAGACCGTTCAAGATAACAATGTAGTTTGAAGCCGCTTGGGGAATCACTCAGAGGCGAATGCGTGCAAAGCCAGTGGA